GTTTTGGCTTGTCGTTTATATTGCTATAGCTTCTTATATTTTTAATTCTTGTTCTTTTCTAAATACTGTTAATTGAAAGGATTTGTTGTGGAGTGAGGGGAACTGAAATAGCCTAGCTATGTTTACAGTGTTTATATCATAATGTTTGTAAACATTTCGCGTCGGCATTAGGCCTATTTCTGAACGAAATAATAAAATGCGACTTATACGCGACTTATGTTTTTTCCCCCCTAAAAAAAAAAATGTTTTATACGCGTAGCATATTTTAACCATGCAGCAAACCGTTTTAAATATTTTGGTAAATTACTGAAAAAATAACATAATTAAATGACTTTTTAAACCGTTTAACTGATTGTATTAATCGGTCAAAATTCTTACCGTCGGTTAACCGGTTAAAATGAACATCCCTAACAGTAATGGATGGATGGATAGATCACAATATTTATCAGAGTATCACTGAACAGACTTTGAACAAAATACTGGGTTCATGTCAAAGAGATTGTATAACATGCAGCCACAGGTTTCATCAAAATTCACTTGTCCATGGAATGCAAACCAAAATCATTCCGCCGCATTACATGTGTAAATCAATAGCCCGTAGCCCTGTTATTTCCTACCTATCAACCTTTCTGTCTCAGCCATAAAGATGCCTTTGTGTCGCTACCTTTCAAAACATTACCACTATGGCCGGCTCGCCCAACATCCCTTTTAATCATACAGATAGGGGGAAAAAAAACTGCAAAAATTCACCACATTCCGATTTCACGACTAGACAGAGATAGGAAAGGGCCAAATTGAACTCCATTATGAGCTTGCTTTGCCACATCTCAACACATTTAATTAGATTTTTTCTCATCAGATTGCTTGGGAAAAGAAGAGGAAAAGGTAGCATGCTTGTGCGACAGAGTACGGAAAGACTGGAAGCCAACTGTTAGATGCAGATGGTCTGAGTGTCAAGACAGCACACAATGCACAGAGCAGGACAGGAAGATAATAAACAAAGTAATGACACATAAGGAGAGAATGCAGGAACGAGAGAAGGATAGAAAGAGATGAATGGCTGCAAAAAGAGAAAGAACAGAATGAGTGATCAACCCATCAGGGCGTATGAACTCTCAGCACATCTGCTCAGTGCCCACCGAGGGTGAGCCGTCTGCATTTTCCTTAATCTCTGACACAAATCACAATTAGTTACTCTGATCTCTTAAAGGGCTGAGCTGAGACCTTTTTGTCTGGAATGTAAGCAAATCAATACAATGCATTATGCATGCCGGGCAGGCAATCTCACTGAGACCTGCCTTGAACTGTTGAGCTAAATCTGGACTGGGACAGGATATCAGAATGCCTGATGCTTGCTTTCATACGAGAATGTGTTTATTAATCAAAACTATGAATTGTAAGTCCTTCTGTGACTTCTCACGTGCTAAAGATTGTAATCAGTGGCTGAAAGGCAAAGAGTCAGAGTGGAAGAAACAAGAGCCTAGAAATCCATCTTTGCTTCTCAACTCTGAATGACTCATATGTAACTCATATGGAATTTCCAGGGATAATTCTTCATTAAAATGACAATCCCATCCATCTGGGACAGTGTGCAGGACATTTGGGGACGAAGAAGGAAGCTATTCCTCAAGAGCATTAGGATAAATTTCCATTAAGATGATCTTAGAATGGTTAATCAGATCGTCTTTAATGGGTTTGGAGGAACATTTTTATTTATTTTTCTCGCTCAGATGTTGCTCTTTTATAGCTTAGGTGAGTTAATGGACTTCAACTCTCTCAGATGTTCTGCTAGAACCCCTAACGAGAAATAAAAATATACACAAATGAGACAACTGTTGATGTACAGTAAGAGTTTAGAGAAATTGTGTGTGGATAGCATAGCCCATATAATTAAGACTTGAAGGAATTAATATTTAATTAGAATATTCATATTTGATGAGAAAAGGTCTGAGCATCTGTTAACGTTCACTCAACATTCACATAACCAACAGTGTTTGACAATACTTGCCAAGGAGGGCATTTTGACATATTTTATATTGTATATATTGTGTGTATTTGACAGTTTAGGCTCACACCTGAAGCCCAAAGTATAGTTTGGTTGTCTGTGTTTCGCACTGTCTAGAAGCACATGTACAAAAAGCTGCCTGGGGAAGAGCGCAAGTTCTGTTTTACAGCTTAATACGCTTTCTTTATAATAGCAAGCACGTCCCGCAGTATACTTTTTACTAGTGTTAGGCCCGAGTCCATCTTTTCAAGTCCGAATCGAGTCCTAGTCTTTAAAGGGATACTTCACCCAAAAATGAAAATAACCCCATGATTTACTCAGTCAATCTATTATTTAGTCAATCTCAAGTCCTAGTTCATTCATAATTGCAGTCCGAGTCCAAGTCCCAAGTCCAAGTACCCAAACTCTACTTTTTATGACAGTCACGCTACATGTTTGGATGTTAAGTTTCGGATTTTAAGCAGGGGCGAAAATGCACCGCTGTAATGGAAAGGAAAATAATGTGGCACAATAATCGTTTTATCTTGATTATCATGCGTTCATAATCCATAAAAAATGTGATTAATCGCACAGCCCTAGCTTGAGTGATTGATGAGATGTCTTCTGAAACTCCATGAGGCCTTTGTGTCTGAAGAACATTTAAGCAGGAGACTTCAGCAAACATTTGCATTTGCTCTCCATTTAATCTAATTGCTGGGAGAAATAATTGAAATATTAAAGGAAACCTATCGTGATTTGTCATGTACACCTACAAGACTGAAGGAGTATGAGCAGTAGCAGACCTCAAATCAGCAGTTGACATCACACTTACCAATGTTTACTTCATCATCCGTTTCTGCATCACCAATGCACTCAAATTGGAACTCCTGTAAAGACTGGGAGAACTTCTGCACGGCTGCCGAGAGGTCTGAAACAAAGAAAAAGAGATTTGAACCATGAAAGTGTAACGCTAACTAAGAGTTAAAATCAAACTAAAATCAAAGCCACTTGAGTCAAAGGTGTATCCTGTATAAAAAGGCAAATACAGAATCCTCACTACCTGCTGAGAGTAAATGAGTTCTCATTTGGAGTGCTAAATGTACATCTCAGTCATCTAGAGTGGGTGGAAGGGACTTGAGCAGGAAATGCTAAGCAACTCAATCAAAAACGGTAATGAGACTGCAGAGAAAAGCCATTTCATCATGCCTTAAAAGAGGTGATAGACCCGACTGCTCCTCCAAATACCAAAAAAGCTTTCAAAAGCTTTCTGATGAAAAAACATAAATAAAACTCAGAAAAGGTTTTCTCATTACTTTGTCCTTAATCTTCTATTTGGAAAAACACAGGATTTGAAAATGTATCTTTCAATCTTAAGAACATAAGATTTGTCAAAAGCGCAATACGTACGCATTCACAACGTGGCGGGGAGGAATCCTAACTTTGCACTTTTGACTGCTGGCTTGGTAAATTCATCATTGACCATCAATCAAGAAAGGCCACGAGGAAGCATTGTAATGCTCATTAGATAGACCAGCACTAATATGCAGACTGACACGAATCTGCCACAAAGGAAGGCTTGTAATTCCAGAAAGATCAAAAGTTAATTCCATGCAAATTCTTTGCTTTTAAGTTCAACGTAAGTCTAATTTGGGGCATTATGGCTCGCTTCAGCCAAATCTAGCAATAGCATTGACATTGAACACTGAAAAAAGAGCAGAGAGGACCGAGAAGAGAACTTAAGGTTATATTAATTTTACACTTAACGACTTTAATTTTCTTCTATTTCAGCTTTTTATGCATCATACAGCTGCATCAAACAATCTGTGTTCAATTTCTGCCCACTTTTTGGCCTAACAAGGTCGAGAGAGAAATAACATTTCTGTAACTTCTGGCACTTTGAATCTCACGTACCAAACATACATACAGAATGCAGAGTTCAGGGAGGATACAGAGAACACTGCAATCTCACTTATAGTAAACACTGGAACATTCCACTTACAGGGTTCAGTTCTAATGGCTACAGATTTTATGTGGATAAATTAGCCATGATTCCTAACTAAAGAAAACATTGCAGCAAAGGGCAACAGGATGTGATGTGATTTTTCCCACATCCCATAAAAACAACACAGCACATCATACAGTTCTGTAGCCTTTTCCCCCTAAGGTCACAATTTTAGTCAGTGTTTCTTGCACACAAAACAGTCACAGAATTACAGGGTTCGTACATATTTTTACCAATAAATTTTGATGACTTCATGACTTTTGAGACAGTATTCATGACCTAATGTTCCATTATTTTACAAGTATACATGTAAAATAAGAATACAAATCTGTTCAAATGTATCATAGCATATGTTATCTAAAACGAATGACTATTAATGCTTATTTGCTTTCTATTTGTTTTAATAATAAGTGCAAGCTGTGACTATGCCAGACGTTACTCCACACAGAGAACATATCACATCACTGAATATTATTAGTTATTTAACCAATATTAACAACTAAACTCAGGACCTGCATTTCATTTAGGAAACAGTTTAGGTCTAACAGTAGTATTCAGGTACAGAAATATACAGAAATTGAATAAACTGTAAATTAAAAACAGATTAATCTTTAAAATGTAATTTAATTATTTAGTCAAGATCAGTGATTGGTCTTTTTTTTGTCTTTTGTTGTTTGATTAACATTAATGACAGACGGCACAGCTTTATTAGGCTGCTGTCCCTTTAAGACCGACTGCATGGATCCAATAAACTGATACACAATGGTTTTCTTTCTAAACAACTGCTTACATTCACTTAAAGGCACAATACTGCATGTAAGTTTTCATCACTAGAGGTCACATTTTCAAAACAATAACAGAGGTGAAGCTTGATGATGATGATGTGAGATGTCGTTTTCACCATCCAGAGATGTCCGAGATGTTCACGGATTAATTAATTTGTATTACCTGTATCTTCCAAAGTTATTCAAACAGCGAACAAATTATACAGAGAAAGCAAGCAAAGTATATTTACATTGTCAAGGAACAGTATGACTGACTAAAGTCTAAACTTAAAGTCTAGCGCGAGTTTAAGCACTCTCAAAAAACTCATAATCAGTAAAGCTGTCTATACACTGTATGATGAATGAATCTCCTACATACATCACATGTGCATCTGCACTTTGTTGTTTATGATGTAATGTTGCGAGAGAGCAAATTTCAGTCAGCAGCAGCGCTCTGAATAAAAAACTCTGGCGTTTCAGCGATGACTCATCTGAACGCCTCTGATTGGGCACTGCATTTTTAAACTCAACAGACTCAAGTGTGATTGGTTATAAAAAGAATCATAGTGCAACATTGAGCAGATCTAAATTTAATGCTGCAGTCAAAACTTTTAATTTAATTTTCATTTTATTCGTGACAGCCGTGATGGATTTAGTTTAACTGTACAGCAGCATTTTTGTCCACGTGTGTTGTCATAGTTTCTACAAGCGGAAACCGATAGCAAGGATATCACGTCACTGATAGGAGACAATGAACAGGGATGAGTCATTATTTAAAATTTGAATTTCTCTGGATTTACAAATCCTTGGGAACTTTTGGGATAACGTAAGTACACAAATGCATGAAATATATCACACTGTGCAAGTGGAATATTTTATTACGAAAGTCTTACACACTGTATTGTGCCTTTAAAGGGTTAGTTCATCCAAAAATGAAAATTAGGCTGTGTTTTACTCACCCCCGAGGCATCCTAGGTGTATATGACTTTTTTCTTTCAGACGAATCCAGTCGGAGTTATATTAAAAATTGTCCTGGCTATTCCAAGCTCTATCATTGCAGTCAGCGGGTGTTGCAATGCTTCAGTCCAAAAGAAGTTAAATAAAAAGCGCCCATCCATAAAAAAAGTGTCTCACATGGCTCCAGGGGGTGAACAAAGGCCTCCTGTAGCGAATCGATGCATTTTTGTAAGAAAAATATCCATATTCAAAACGTAATAATCACTTTAATCTAGCTTGCGCCAACAGTTGTACACAGAAGCATCTCCGGGCGAATGACATATGAGGTCAACGTTGTGCATGCGCCAGTGAGTCTCGTGAAAACCAACGTTTGTTTACAGGATCAAAGGAAGCAAAGTTTCCTTACTTTAGCAAAGGAAAACCAGTCTCCTCTTGGCTTATATCGAAATCCTCTGACATTCTTCTTTACAAATCCTCGTTTTGTACTTCTAATTAGTGACCGTTGTTTTGTTTTGATCTCTCTGCTGCGCTTCCGCGTGCGTCACTTCTGAGCGGCGTATGCGCAAAGCCGACCTCATACGTCATCCACCCGGAGCTGCTTCCGTGTACGACAGTGAGCGCAAGCTAGATTAAATTGATTATTACATTTTAAATATGGTTATTTTTCTTACAAAAACGCATCGATTCGCGAAAGGAGGCCTTTGTTCACCCCCAGAGCCGTGTGAGACATTTTTTTTTAATGGATGGGCACTTTTTATTTTTTACTTCTTTTGGACTGAAGCACTGCAACACCCGCTGACTGCAATGATAGAGCTTGGAATATCCAGGACAATTTTTAATATAACTCCGACTGGATTCGTCTGAAAGAAGAAAGTCATATACACCTAGGATGCCTCGGGGGTGAGTAAAACACAGCCTAATTTTCATTTTTGGGTGAACTAACCCTTTAAGACAAAACCGACTGTGTTTATGAGGATACTCGCCAAGACTGGCATTTTGACATCATTTTGTGTGTATTTGGGCCAGTGCCCCCATGTCAGCAAGCTTGAATAATACTAAAAGTAGGTTAAGATTAATTTTATAAGTGTGCCCCCTAAAAGCACAAGTGGCTCCTGCCTGGCCCCCCAGTTATTGTGATCTGGAACCGCAACTGGCTATTATTAAATAAATGCCAGAATGAGTAAAACTGTGAGATATATGCATGATCCCACACCGACCTGATTAAAAATATATTCTATTGCACAGAGATTTGTGAAATAAATTTCCATGACTTTTCCAAAACATTCTGGGTTTATTAATTTTTTCAAAATTTTTCCAGGCCTGGAAATTGCTGTTCCCAACACATGACTATGGGATATCGCGCTCTTGCACCATCTGCTGAAGACACCTATATTCACGCCTGAAAGGCCAATTACGCATGCCGACGTGGGTGGGGCTACCTGCCCACAGCATATAAATGCATTCGCATGCGTGATTCCCTTTGTGTTCTAGCAGCACGGTGAAGAGCTGAAGAACAATCATGCCACATTCACAAGAGAAAGCCTACGGTGGTGATCCTTGTTGAAACTAAGGAAAGAACAGACAGATGAAGAAAAGGGTTCTTAATCTCAAGTTTATCTCCGCTAACAAAGGCTTATGAACTCTTTTTCGAGTAAGATGTCTAAGCACAAAAAAGATTCTCGCCCCTGTCCTATGGCATGTGGGTATTCATTGTCTGAAAAGGATACTCACGAGCACTGCTCAGTGTGTCTGGGGATTGTTCACGCTAAGTTGGCTCTCTTCAACCCCGGAGCATGTGTACGTTTTTGGGGAGGCTGCAGGGAACTGGGGCGATCGTGTAGAGGCCGAGGAGGACAGAGGTATTCCCGATTGCTCCTGAGTTTGGCCGGGAGTTTGGGTGTCAGGACGATGACTCTGTCTCATTGGATGCGGCCAAGAGTTCTCGGACGACGCTTTTCAGGCAGGACAATTACCGGCTTCTCCCTCGCTCTCCGAAGCAGCAGGTGGTAGCGCTTTGGGGGGTTTTATCTGTCTCCAGTGCACAGTAGTGAGGTCCCGCCTGCCACTTTATCCGGATTGTGTAGCAGAGCTCACATCTTCGTGGCCGAAGCCCATGTCACCCCCTCCTCCGGTGCGAGGCGCAAACAGATTCACAGAGCTCGAGGGAGCGGGGGAAGCAGGGTTGATTTCGGACTCCTCAATGGA